GCTGGAGCACTTATCCATATCTTAATAATCAATTACAAAGACATTATTAGTTACTACAACTTGTAAACAGTTCCCATACTTCATCACCAGATTCCAATGTCTCAACAGAGTTCATTGAATGTCTACAGAGATATGCCAATGTTAAAGTCATTTAATCCAGCTAAAATATCTTTGGTGGTGATCCTCAGATCATTGACATTTCTGAGAACATTTTTTGCCACACAAGGTGATATCTTAGATTTCCTTCCTCATCCTTTGAAGATTTTCATAATGTAGACATTCTTGATAATTGGGGAAACTGGCACTTGAAATTGCTTAGATATGTCTTTGTAGACTTGCCTTCATTTTGAGCAGTTACAGTCTTTAAGTAGGGTTAAATAAAAATTGCAAATGCTATCTTCTAGTTAACTCCAGTCCTGAAATACACAATACCCTATGGTTGACTAACCAAGTTTACATTCATATATGACCAGTCTAATGGTTATTAGCATGGTAATTGGAATCAGTGACCAGAATTCAAATTAAAGTCTAGTCTGTTGCATTCACTTTTGCGTTAATACTCTTGAAAAAAGGCATAAATACATCTCTTCACCTTCTTCTCAACTATGGGTTAAATAACAAGGTAGAGTGGGCTCTCTAGCTTCAGGTACAACCAGTCAAAGAGAAGGAAAACTTTGAATTCTAAACTGTAGAAGGCAACAAAAAAAAAACACTCTCCTATCTTTATTAAGAAATTCAGATAATAAACAAAAGGAATCTGGAATAAAGAAAAGGAATGTATATATATTGCTGCCACACCTTGTCTGGTGCTGCTGCTATATATCTTAAGATGCTTGACAAAATCCAAAGAAAAGTCTGTAATGTTATTAATTCTTACATCTCAACTTCAATCACTTTCCCACCACCACAACAGTTTCCCTGTGTCAATTCTATAAATATTTTCATGGTAATTGTTCTAATGAACTTTCATCCTTGATATCTCAACCTCATAAATTTAAGCATAGACTAGATTGGCAAATAGGTCTCTGCTGAATTAGCAAGACATAACCATGATATAGTTTCTTTTCTTGCACTTCTTGTCTGTGTAACTCTTCTAGTTTCTTGTTTCCCTGCCACTTATGTTTTTCAAAAATTTAAGTGCAACATCAACCACCTTCTTCCTAAAATCCTGTTCTTTTATTGTCCTTTCTCCTCACTAAAGTATTCTGATTCTTGTTCACTCTCAGTAACCCTTGCATCTTAGTGGCATTATCACCTTGCTTGGGGTGAAATGATAAAAAAAAACAAAAAAAAAACAGACACACACAGGAAAGCTACATTATGGGAAAGTGATTGACGTTGAGATGCCAGGTTAAGACTGATTCTTTTTTGGGTTTTATGAAGAATCTTGAGATATATGGCAGGAGCACCAGACCAGATGTTGTAGGAATAATCTGGTATGACACAATGAACCAGTTTTCCTAGCAGTAGACCTTACAATTCTGCTGCTATGAAAACTGGTTCACTAATAAATATATATATTATCCCTCACCCAATTCTCCTCCATAAAACAAGCCCACGAAATATAGACTGATTGAGAAAGGAACTAATAAATTTTTTTAAAGATCATGAAATAAATATTATGACTACCACCAATGTTACAGTGATCAACTTTCTCAATGTGACCTTAGACTTGAAGAATGGTTATTATAAACCATATACTAAAGATTTATATAATCATAGATATGTCAAGTAAAGAATCAAACCACTACCACAAAATTATAGATAATTTACATAAATCAGCCCAAATTCAATTATCTACCAACTCCAGAACTAAGCAAACATAAATTAAATTTAGAATATTTAGAAAAAAACAAAGGTAATAATAAACAGAAACACTATAAGCATAAAATTATATGGTTTAATCCACCTTTTAATCATAATGCTCAAACTAATATCAGAAGAATTTTTCTAAATTTAATCAATAAACATTTTAACCATTCACTAAAAAAGATTTTTGATAAAAATATTGTTAAGATCATCTATAGCTGCATTAATAACATCGATAAATCTATATCCCAACATAACATTATATTAAACAAATATATTTCCAACAAAGACAACATAATGTTTTATAAAAATAAATGCAACTGCTAAAGAAATATGATCTGTCCCTTAAATGGTCAATATATGACTAATAATATTGTATACTGAGTGAGCATACATTCCAGTAATGATATTAAATTTTATTTTGGTTCCACTGAAAATTTCATTTCTACTATCATCAAATGACTTTAGGTAATATAAAATATAAAAACAGCACTGCTCTCTTCAAATATTTCTGGCAATTAAAGAATCATGGCAACTCACCTTCCATCAACTGGGATATTATAGCTGTGGTAGTAAGACAATGACTCAATTGATAGTAGCAGATAGGAAAAAACCCACGAGGAGGGTAACCAACAAAACAGTGTCACATGTCCAACCTTCTCACGAGCAAAAAAAACAGTGATCAGAAACAAAAACGCACATGCTTTATACAGCCAAGGACCAACCACGATTTGCATGTGAATGACGAGACAACGAGATTTCGCGCTAACTGTCCGAGACCGTCTGGCATAAAACATGGGTGTTTCCGAGGTAGGCCATTTTCACAATTTTCCCCAACACTCCCCCAGATCTCATGATCACAAACAGGGCAAGGAGGTGGCGATCGTCGCCGTCAAGTCCCCCTCTGAAGGGGGACAACACAAGCTTCATCCTCATGCGTGCTCTCGTCTGTGGTTTGAGTGTCAGTAAACACTGTGTCCGCCGGGAGGCTGCTGATATCGGAATCACTGCCCTGCAGGTCTAACTCCAAACAGATCGAACACTCACTACTCTCAGACTCGGAATTGCTTTCATCGCTCAGATAACGGTAGCAGTTGCATCACCGGTCACAAGTCTTTAATGTGACGAGGCACCCCATCAACTCTCACAGATTGCGGGCTAATCACCTCCATAACACGTCCAGTGACGTATTTTGTCATACACTTGCCGCGTGGGTTTTTGACCCAAACAACATCTCTTTTTTTCAATCTCCCTCCAGTCACTTCTAGTTCAGGCAGCGTGTTGGCTTCAATTCCTTTCACTCGGACATGATATTTGTGCAGTGCATCAGCCGGCGCCGTAAACGGTGAAACGTTATCTTTCGGGGCGACATTATACCAGTAAACCGCCTCCAATACTGTACAGCCCTTCCTGGCTGTGATGGTCTTGACGGTTCTGTGGCTTTGCTCTACGATGCCGTTTCCACTCGGCGAGTAGGCACATCAAAACCGCAGATGCACGTCCCAATTGTCTGCAAATTTTTTAAAGTCTATACTGGTGAATGTAGTATCGTTGTCAGTCAGTATTTCCATGGCTGGGCCTCGCTCCAGGAAAACATTCTCCAACAGTCAAATGATGGTGCTCGCATCTTATCGGTGCAGCGGCCGCCATACTGCAAACCTAGAGGGACCGCAATCAATGAGCGTTAAAAAATTCTCACCATTGTAGTGAGTTATGTCCATCGCTAGTCTGCTCCAGTTGCTCTTCACGCTCAGTTCTCCTCTTTCCCAGTGAACGGTGCCGGATCGATCAACTGACAGGTTGTGCAGGCCTTCACAACGGATTTAATGCTTTCTCTGGACACCTAAGGGTCGACTAACCTGGCGAAGTACAGAGTTCGTTTCACGCCCGGATGGGTATTGGCCACCTGGTCCTTGTCCAGTCGTCTCCCTACCACTGCACAGCACAGCGCCGGTTCTCTTCTCTTGAGCAGTTCTAGCCACCTGTGCGGTACTCTGGTGAGGCGATCCGCACGGTTCTGACAGGACTGTACGAGTGTCACGTCTATGGTCAATCCATATTCTTCTACCAGTGATCGCATAATGCCCAGCCGTCGCCTAACCAGCATCTCGCCAGCCGCCCTTGTGTTCACCTGTGCCTTCCTGGTCAAGGTGTCGGAAATCCACCGGTGCACACATGCCGAATCAGTAACCAAGTGCAATGTTGTCACCTCTCACTGGAGGGCTAGATTGACTCCTTTAAGCGCCGCATCGAGTTCAGCTAAATTAATATGCCTGGCATCATTAGTCGGACGCAGCCAACACGCATCTTCGATGACATTTCCATTCGCTTCCAATGCCACTCCTGTCGCCACGGAACTCGCATCCACCCAGAGTGTGATCTCGTCACCACTCATGCACCAGTCTACTCCAACAGGATCCAGTTCCTGCACTCTACTTAACATCTCCACTAGTATGCAACAGAGAGAGGGATCTTTGATGTTATCATCCCATCCATTGGTTGCTGCGGTTGCCAGGCGCTTGACGAATGCAGCTGCCACCCTGAGCCATCCACACATGGGGAAATGTCCAACAAGTTTCCCACACAACGAAAAAATGCGCCGACGGGTCAACACATCAGGGACTTCCGGAATCTGACTTCCTCGTTTCCATCAGAGGGTGCCATTCTCTTCCCAGACTTGCAAGCCAAGAACTCTTGCTCCATCTCTCAGTTGCACCGGATCCTTGCACACACCAAACCGTAATCCAAAAAGTGTTGTCGTACACGCGATGCAGAGACCAAACTTTCATTAATGAAAATATCATCAATGTATGCTGATGTGGCACTTTCAATTGTGTGGTCTTGTGATGTGATGGTATCTATAACAGATTTCATAATGAGTGGTGCCACATTTAGCCCAAATCCTAGCCGCGAAGACAGAAGCGTTGGCCTTTAAAAATAACCGTTTGAAATGGCCACAGCGCTTCGTTGATGTGAATCTGAAGATATGCGTTTCGCAGATCCAGAAGCAACACATTGACTCCCTGTCACCGCCATGTTCTCGGCTTATGTGCGCACACTTCTGCATCGGCAGTAAAAACATCCACAAAGTCATTCAATTCGCGGTAATCGAGTACCGGACGCACTTTTTGTTTCTGCTCCTGCACGACTGCCATTAAGGGAATCAGACCCTTTGGGGGTCTCAGTCTTTTTCAATTGAAAGAGACTTCGAAATCCAGCTCACTAATGCAAAGGGCTGCACACACCTTTCTTCCTTTACCCAGTTCCACATTTCCGGCTGGCGTGATTATTATGCCTCCTAACGCTCGGATCGCATCAATCCCAAGCAGCAGGTCGTAACCAAGGGGCCTTTGACGTGCCCCCAAAACCTCGACCTTGGCACGATTCCCTCCGTTTGTGAGGATTGATACAGTCCCGACACCACAACAGGCCCGGGACACTCCGTTAATCATCCAAATCTTGATTTGTTGACTGCTCCATGTCACGGATCGATCCGCACTTACGATCAATCGGGAACATCCAGTGTCGACGAGCGCCGAACATCGTTTACCCTCAATGCACATGTTGACAACAGGCAATGCCACATTTACTGACCGAGAGGAGGTAAGAGTTGCGACAGCACCTTGTCCCCGGACTTGTTTCCCGAGCAATCCTGTGCTACATGGCCTAACTCGTTGCAGCGATAGCAGCGTAGTCGTGCTCATGTCCGTCGGCTGTTCCCGCCTCCTATGTCACTTCGGCTCCAGCAGTCTCTAGAGAAATGGTTGGGTCCACCGCACTTGTAGCACTTTGGGCCCTCCCGCGGTGTCTCGGGCGTTCTCACAGCTGTTGCGACCTGTTCCGTATCTTTCAAGATGTTTCGGGCCCTGGCTAGCAATTCGTCAATTCCCAGTGTGTCCAATCTTGAAGACGCTCGCAGGAGCCGACTGGTGTCGTCGAAAAGTCCTGCCAGGAAAGCGCATCCCAGTATGCGGTCCGTTGCTCCACCAAACGGCACTGCCAGCCTTTGCAAATCGGCCAGGTAGACATCCACCGTCTCACCCGGCTTGAGCCGTTGTCCGACGAACTGTTTCCAAGCGATGAAAGGGTCTATTCCAAAGGCCGTATATAGGGCACTCTTGATCTCTTCTAGGTCAGCATCGTCCCCGAGTTGTTGATATACGGCATAGGCTCCCCTCATGAGTCTCAGTGGGATGACCAGTGCAGGTTCTTTTATTTTGGACACCCTGCAAACACGTTCGGCCTTCTCAAACCATTCAACGACAGTCGGGCCTGTGGGGGAGCCATCAAATTCTGGGATCAATTTTAGATCGAACTTGTCCATTGCCGAAATAGCTTGTGGTAGTAACACAGCGACTCAACTGATAGTAGCAGATAGGAAAAAACCCGCGAGGAGGGTAACCGACAAAACAGTGTCACACGTCCAACCTTCTCACGAGCAAAAAAAAAAACAGTGATCAGAAACAAAAACGCGCCTGCTTTATACAGCCAAGGACCGACCACGATTTGCATGCGAATGATGAGACAACAAGATTTCGTGCTGTCCGAGACCGTCTAGCATAAAACATGGGCACCGCCATTTTGGTTCTTTTTACCGTTGAGCAAACCGGAGTTTGCACATCGCATAGATTCGCAGGCATTTCCGAGGTAGGCCATTTTCACAATTTCCCCACAATAGCAAGAACCAAATCTTATAGCACAAAAGGAAATAGATGTAACATATCTTGTTGAAAAATTAGTTATCTTAAAACACCTAGCTTATCAAACAAGAGAAATGAATTGATAGTTACATGTAGGCATAAAACTAAATATCTGTTTAAATATGTTGATCCAAATTAATTAATTTATTTTTAAGGTAAATTACGGTTTGTTTTTTATTTTTTATATATAAAAATAAGTAATCTCCTTTTAATAATAAAAAAAATTAATATTCACAACTCTAAAATAAAAAAATTGAAAGTTTTTTTTTCTTTATACTTATATATACAAATCCCATTTATTTTTAATGCCAATCATAATTTTTAAAACTGTAATCTCAGTATAATATATAACTATGCCATCATTGCGATAACCAGATATATTTTTTTAAATTTAAATTACTTAATGGCCAGTCTATACTCAGTACCTGAATATTGCATTGTGCATGAAACTGAGTCTTGTTATCAGTGAGGGATAATATGTATATTTATTAATATATACTTAGCTCTGTTGTATTACATAGTGCACTGTTTTATTAACACTAGCACTATATGTGCGATATATTTATAGGTGTGTGTGTGTGTGTGTGTGTGTATTTAGGCAAAAAAACTGTTCTATAAGTCAAATATTATAAAAGAGAAAAGACATTTTGTGTTGATTAATTTTACTGATCAACTTTTCCAAATTATAAATAGTCATTCTCAGACAAGGAGGAAATTCTGTTAGAAATATTCACAAAGTTCATTTTGGAAGAAAGGTACAAGAAATATGGTCCAAGCTATTGACTTTCTTTAGTTATCATCAGGATAGGTAGACATAAATGGTTAGTTTCTTAGAACTAGTAAGTGTTGTGATGTAAGTGAAGTGTGTTTGTTTTTTTATTATATATACATTTGAGGTTGCAGGCTCTTAAATTATAATTGTTTTTATTTATTGAGGGTAGTTTTTGTTGCATAAGTATTGCTTCAAGGATTATTTGTAATTTGGAAAAGTTGATCAGTAAAATTATCTTTTATATATGTTTAAACAAGTTTAGCATTTTTTGATTTACCAAGTACTATTTATACAAAGGCTACAAAAAGAAATTATCTTTGAGTGCTAATTAAGAATGAGAGTAATATAATTAGACACAATAATATCAAACAAAATTTATTTATAACATGCCTCAAAAATATTGCACATTTAACAACAGAAGTTGGCACTGTATAGGATAAAGTTAAATAAAATGTACTTAACCATTATTTCACACAAATTGTCCCATTTATATAAATATGGGTCATTTGCATTTGTTTTTTCTTATTTTATGTGAGCATGTGAATACCTGAGAAGTAACCCAGTCAATTAAAAGATAAAAATTGAAAACTCTTTAAAAGCATCTACAAAAATATTTTGAACATTTCAGAATTATTGACAGAAAATGGAATTGGTAGCGAAGTTCAAATTCTAGCCCAGACATGTAAAAATTAGTGAGAGAAAAGGAATATTTACTCAACAATTCTTATCTAGGATGAGACAAGAGGACTCCATTTTAAGTGTGAAATACAATATTTATATACATATTTTTCAAATATGAGAAAGTATCTTGAGAGAAGATATTAAAAATCTGAGTGTCAATATTGCCAAGCAAGTTATCATAAACTGAGAATATTAGACAAGGAGAAATGCTGACAAACAAAAGAATTTGAAAGTAACAAAATTTAACCAAAGATAATCATGTGGAATTGGTATCTCTTACTGTAAGAGATAAGAGAAGAGACAGCTATCTAGTTTGCCTGCCACTCAATAACTGAGTGTCTTTCTTTTCTCTTTATATACCGTGTCCCTGATGGGACACGGTATATAAAAAGAAAAGAAAGATCTTCTGACTCTCAGTTTTGTCCCTTTGCTACTTGCTCCAGGCTCTGTTCTGTCATCCACTTATTTAGGCCCGCTAGGTATGTCATGCATTGCTTTCCCTTGTCTCTCTTTCCCTCTATTCAACCTATGATTATCAGATTCTCCAAGCCCCCCTTTCTTATTACATGTCCCAGAAATTTCAGTTGCCTCTTCCTGATGTTAAGTATAAGCTTCTACCTTGTTTGAATCCTCTCCAAAACATCATCGTTGCTCACATACTCAATCCATGATATCCTTCTGTAGAACCATACCTCTGCCGCCTCAAGTCTCTTCTTCATCTTTGAGGAGACCATCCAACATTTGCTGCCATAAAGGAGGACAGATGTAACATAGCAGCTCAATACTCTTTCCTTTGTTACCAAAGAAATCCTCCTCTCATAATACTCTGCCTAGCTCTTGGAATGATTCTTTGGCTATGCCAATGTGTCCGGATCTCAGCGTTGCACTTGTCCTGTCTCATAACTAAGTGTAATGGTTTTATTTTTTTGTTCATGTGGGGTTGTTATATGACATTTTATATGTAAGGACAGATAATTATTTTTGTAGTTTTACATCCACTTCACATGAATGTCTTTGGAAAAGACATGAATCCATCTCTTCACTCCTGCCCAGCTATATGCAAATATCAAGACAGACTGGGCACTTTAGTCTTCGTTCCTAATCATTATAGAAGACTGACATTTCTGAATTCAAAAACAAGAAATCCCCTTCCTGACTGTGAGTAAAAGCTTTTTTTTTTTAAGTTAATATCAGGTCTTTGTCTAAATGATATTTCTCATATATGAATTCTACAAATACAATTATAAATATTAACAAAATTTATAGGAACTAGAAGGATATAATAGTTACAAATAATATTCAGAAGCAACTGATATTAAATGGATTTATTTGATGCAATGAGGTATCATTACAAAAATGCTTTAAAATCTTGAACAATGATTTAAGTAAAATTAATTGCTTTATATATGAAAATGCTTAAATCAACATACTAATGTGCAAAATTTGGAGTTCATTCTACATACAAACCATTTTACTTGCTTCTGCAATTTAAAGCTACCTATTGCTTATTTCTAATTTTCATGTTTTTATCTGTGATTTTAAGCAAAATTAACAAGTCATAAAAGGATAGTAATTCATCATTAGGCACAATGAAATCAATAGAGAATTAAATGAATTTTGAATCTAATTTGAATCTAAATATTTTCCAGTAAAATGTAGATAAAGACTTTTTCAAACTATACATATTATTTTAATTCAATAGTTATTTCAAGTCAACTTGACAAAAAGAAAACTTTCAGAATAAGTAATTAATTTCTATAAATATGTTAGCAGTTTCCAAAAGTGTGTTATCTGTAGCAGATCAGCAGCCAAAAATTGATTTCCAATTTCAAATCTATCTCAAAGCACCCTAATGGAAAATTACAAAAATTGTGCTATATGGTCTTGGGGTGAAATGTTAAAGAAATCTAGATATATTTGTTTGATGAGAAAAAAAGTAAAAAAAAAAAAAGACAGACATGCACAAACTTACAAAGTAAATATAATTATATAAAAATTATAAATTAACTGAAAAAAATAGAACCTATAAAGCTATAAGCAGAAAAGAAAAGCTGGAACAGAAAATTTCAAAATTTTGTGTATAACAAAAAGATATACATAAGAATGAGCAAAAGGTATGATATGCCTAAGGATAACTAAACCAATTGGTATTCATAAGAACAAAAATATATTAAACATGTAGCTGAAGGAACTAAATCTATAAGAAAAAACAGATACTTCTGAACATATTGATTTTCTCACTAATTTACTTCCCTGAGGATAAAAATCCTATTGCTTTCTTTAATTTTCTTAAATTTAAAAAGTACTACTTACTTTTCCATGAAATGCTTAAATAACAGCAATATATTTAGTAGTTTCAAATTATAAATCTAAAATACAAACATCAGGATAAATAATTTATATCAAGTTACATGCTATATAATTAAAAGAAAAATTACTGACATGATAAATATCTGAATTAACTTTAAATACTTAATGATTTATTTAAAAGTTAAACGAATATCAATAAGCAAATATCACATGTGCTTCATACAAATTTCATAAATACAGC